AGAATTGCTAAGGTTTCAACAGTTTTATTTATTTATTTTTTTTCTGCATTTTAGGGAAGGGTCTACAGGGTATTCAGAGTCTCAATACTAGACTGGACTCATAGTGATTTTCCTGTTTACAGTCTCCCAAGTGCTGGGATTACAGGTGCACTCAACCATCCCCAGTCACAATCACCAGCCTGGCAGGCCCAGGGATCGAATCCCCGGGCCCTGCGCCTGTATGCAGGCACTTTAATTCGCTGAGATATTTGGACAACCAAAAAGTGCAGCATCTTAATCCAATGATTCTAACTCAGGACATATGGAAGAATGCGTTGGAAAGGCCTCCACATCCAAAGGCTTGGGCTTATTGAAGCAGACTCTTTAGAGCGATGCCTCAGCGATAACAACCTCTACACCTGGATTTCTCCATGAGGCAATTCATACACAATCTCTTGTCATCTTCATTTTCTCCATAACATTCATTTTGTATATTATATTGAATTGAAAATCCATGTTACACAATAGGATAACAAACATGATTCACAGACTGGGTTAGTTCAGTATCATTCATATTGCCATGGAGGCACTAAAAATTAGAAAAATTACTAATTGGTGAACCATTAAATGAACCACTAAGAAGAGTAAATAAAGAATAATGCAATCCATATAATCTCAAAATAACTAAAATGAAGAAAAAAGTGAATACATTAATGGGATTTAATATTGTGTTATCTTCTAATAAAAATGTCCAGAAAAGGTTTATGTAACACCTTAAAATGCTAACAAACTATAAAATTTATTATTTAATGTTGGCAAAGTTTAGTTATTTATTTTTTTACTCTGTCCCCACTAAAAGGTATTATTTATTTATCTATTTATTTATTTACTTTTGGTGGAATGGGGATAGAACTCAGGCCCTTGTGCTTGCCACGCAAGCGCTTTTTCTACTGAGCTATCTTCAGGCCCCCCTAAAAATTTTTAAAGAATACAAAGAATTCTACAAGAAATTTACAAAAGATGTAGTCCCTATACTCCACAAACTCTTCCATGAAATTGAAAAGGAAGCAATCCTCCCAAAATCATTCCTGGAGGCA